TTCAGGCCAAAATATTGAAGTTCAAAAAGATGTTGCTATAATTTTTTCTCGAGTTCTTTTCATAATTACAGGCAATATTTGGTAAAAATTTCCACCAAAAACTATTATAGCTCTTCCAAATGGGCAATCAATATTCCAAATGTCTCTAAAAGAATGATCAATTGCCTCAAGATAATAACAACGTTGCATTAGAAGTTCATCCCAAATAATAAGCAAATTTTTGCAAATATATTCAGCATGGTCGAAATTCTTAATAATCAAATAAAAAGAGTCCTTACAATCTAATAGAATCTTGAATATGGAATGGGCGGTTCTTCTTTATTCAAGTAGAAATGTGGTAATGCTTGATGATAAAACACATATGACAATCTTTTACATCAATCAAACTTTAGTTTTCAAAATGTTGTAGATAAATGTCTTATCAATTCTTGCATGTACATTTAAAAAAAACATGTGTCCATGTTCTTCCATTATAGAGGCCACAATATCATCATATGCATCTTTTTGTTTAAGATTCAATTGTAGAACATAGTGCTTTAAATTAACTTCTAATTGTTAAATGTCTTATGCTCTTTTTTTAGTAATAAATTGATTTCTATTAACTATTGCATTCCAATTGTTTCTTGGTAATGGCATTAGAAGAGATTATACAAGCATATTGTCAAAGTTTTACAAAATCTTATTTAGTAAGAAAAATCCAAAATCTTTAATTTGTTCTTCTATTGGATTGTTAATTCTATTTTTTTTTTAGAAACAGGCATTGAAATCATCTAAGATGTTTTTTTTAAATCTTTTTCATATGTTTAATAGATTTAGCAAATTTTTGTGCAATAGCAAAATAGCCAATAATGCCTTTAAGTGAAATCTACTTTGTATTCTTGATGCCTCTCCCAAAAATTGTTGCCACTTTCTATCATCTTCAAGCAAATATAAAGCTACATATGCATTTTTAAATGTTGAATGGAAAATTCCATGAATAGTCTTTAAATGCTCAAATGATTGTGGATCTTTAACGTGGATTAATAAAAGCCTCAAATAATATCTTTTTGCCATTCCTGGATATAATCTTCCAATAGCAAATCTATGTTTTTTTAATATCTATATCCTTCTTGTCTTCTGCCAAATAAAATGTTGTGAAAACTATTGGTGTGAATATTGCCTTGCCACTGCAATTGCTGCATACATTTCAAAAAATGAAGTTAATGTTGTCTTTTTTCTTTCAACATGTTCTAAAATTGTAACTACCTCATCATTTGGATCATACACTACTTGATGCATTCTTAGAAGATGAATGGCAAAACAAATAACATTTGGTATTTCTTCATGGATTTGCATGCAAAAAAATCTCCAAGCAACCTCTGAAGTTCTAATGTATCAAGCATCCAAATATTCTTTGATTTCATCTTGTTGGTTTTCAAATTGTATTGAAATGTGATTATGGCCCTTGTAAATGTATTTGTAGATATACTTAATAACACAAATAGATGCACATACCTCAACATTAATATAATAATTGTACTTTTGAGATAGTTTTGAATAAAATAGAATAACATCCCTGTTATCAACAACCATTCTTTGAACTTTAAACATTCTTCTATTATTTCTTCATTGATATTGAGGATATTCATTGGCATCTATTGCTATTTCTTCCACAAATATCTTTCAATATCTCTTTATACAACAACTGTCTTCCATGCAAGTTGCTTGAGAATTTTGCATTCTACATGGATCATATACCATGTATTGTAGAATAACTTCAAATAGCTTTTGATCATTGTCTTTATCTAGAAACTTTGCAGAAACTATACGATCCACATTTCCAATGCATCTAATCTTGCTTTCTCTATCTAAAAAAATCAAGATATGCATATAAAGTAGACCTCGCTTTTGAAATTCAATGGTATAAATATGAGCAATAATATGACCAAAGACAACTTTTTTCTTTATATCTTCTAGTACGTCTCTTGAGCTTAAATATACAAGTAACCAAATCTTGTCAGTTATTTGCTTATTGTCCTTGAAGTAATTCATTTTGGATTTCAGACCATCTTGGATTTGCTAACATTGTTATAAAAATTTCAAGATAGTGATAAAACCTTGTAATTGCCATAGAATCTTGAAGTATTTCTATCATATGTCTTGCACTTTTAATATGTGTTGATGGAAGTAAGATCTTGTGTCCTAAATTATTTAATTCATATTGTTCTTCTTCATGCATAATACTTTGATGAATTACAAAAGCATCCACTAATCCTTGATATAAATCAGCACTTAAATTTCTTTAATTATAACGTAGATATTGCAAACATGATTACTCAATTGCTACTCATTTATCAACTATAAATTCTTATAATAGCTTTTTTTCATGTAAAATTGTAGAATACTTAATAAGCCTTAAAAAAATTGATAAGTAAAATAATCCATTTGTGTAAGAATATTTCTTTTCAAATCTTCTTATCCACCAATTTTTCTTTTTTCAATAATATCTATTATTAAATTTTATGTCCTTAAGTTGAAATGCCATCCAATGATTCTATATAAAAAAAAAATAGAACATAGTCAAGGGGCAAATAAATTGAATGAGCCTCATGAATCCTTTCTAATAGTCCATTACTATGTATATAAATAATAATATCGCAAAGTACATTATACTCCAATCCATCTTCAAGCAATATAATAGAAATATTTTTAAAAATAATAAGAAGATTATATCATTGTCTATTGCTTTCATTCATAAAGTGCAAAGAAACAACAAGATTTATTTCCACTACTCCTTCATTCCATGTTTGAGATAGTATTTCATATATCTGTCTATATAATCCAATAAAAGGATTATTCTCCCTCAAAATTTCTTCAATTTTTTACATAGTTTGACTCAACAAACTATGGTTATGTTTTATTCTTCTATCTTATATAAATGATGCATTGTAGACATAAAGCTATGCATAAGTTGGGTCATTACCTTCTTCCAATACAATGCTCCTACTAAATGGTATAACTCTTTATTTATTCTAAAATTGTGTAGAGCATTTCTTTGAAGCATAGTTTGATCAATATTTGCACCTAAGGACGTAAATGCATATGTAATATTATACTAATAGATATTTTCTTGAAAATCTTTTGCTCTTACATCCTCGTCCTCAAATAAGTGACTCAAAATTTAAGGCAGAGAAAGTAGAAATGGTAGAAAAACTTTTCCTTGATAACAACATTGTCCAAATAATAACAACTTCCTTGGCAATCTGGCTAAATGTTCATCAAATCAATGTAATGAGCTAAAATGAAGACACAAAATATTCATCCTTCCTAAATTATGTATAGATTCAATACTTGTAGCTATATCAGCTTCTCTTTGTGTTCTTTCATATTTCTTATGTTGTTGTTGAGCAATTATTTTCTAATTCATTATTAAAGCTAGACCATTTATAATGGCATGGGTGGCTTCAACACTTGTAATTATTTTAGCTTCTCTTTGTGCCCTCTCATGTTCCTTATGCTATCATTTAGCAATTGTTCTTTGATTCATTATTAAAGTTGGACTATTCACAAAGATAAGGATTCCACCACACAATTGGGATAAGCTTATTGTCAAAAACATGAATCTCAAAGAAAGACAATCCTCAATACACTCTTGTGTCATTAAAGAGAACTAGAAAGTCATTCAAAAGGTGATCTAATATCAAACTAGAATGGCTATTGCCAAAAACAAAAAAACTAGAAAGTCTTGAAACAAGACTAAGCACTAAAAAGACATTGATAAAAGTAAAAAAAACTTCATTCTTGCCTTCTTATATACTCTCTAACTAGGAACTATGTAGCGATGTCCTATAGGACCTTTAAAACAAATTGCCTTTACTAGCCACATGTCTTAACTTGCAAGGCAAGTTATCTATATATATACTACATAGTTAGCTTATTTCATAAGCTATTATATAGAGTTAATTTGTTCTACAAGCTATTTATAATATTAAGAAATATTAGAATAGCATATAGAAATTATTACAAATATATCTATAAGAATTAAAAATTAGCCTAATAAAGCTTCTAAAGGTTTTTCATGACATTTAGAGAACTATTAGGTGTACACCCTCTTTTTGCTCTATAGATACCTCTCTCTTCTCCCCATGCCATGCACCTCTACATGCACATAGTAAAAGTCTTATTTACACTAAAACAATTTACAATAAATTTATATTAAAAGATTTGCTACACATAAATTAATAGGGTTTTAAAATGAATGATAGAATTACATAATATACATTATATATATATATATATATATAGTTTTTACAAAACAAAAATAAAAATAAATACAAAAATCCATTGCACACAATTCTATTATTATACATTTATTCTATAATTTTTTACTGTAAATAAAAATTTACTATGTATATGTGTGAATGCATGGCTTTCCTAGATGAATTTATTTGATGAAACAGAGTTATCAACAAAATGAAAATTTTATATGTATATAATAATAATAATTAAAAAAAATAAAAAAAAATAAATACTTTAAATATTTTATATTGAATGTTTTTTAATTTAATAAGAACATGATTTTTTCAGGTTGTGGGTTATTCAACATATTTTGTAAGTATAGGTGAAATGCAGTAGGTTTTATACAAGCAAATAAATAAATAAATAAAAACATGTACAAGATGTTTTGAAGGATTTATTTAATACATGGTTGAGTGTTTATTGAGAAAAATAATTATACCGTTAGATTTACAGATAAATACAAATTTCATTTCATAAGATACATTTTGGTTCGTAATATATTGCAACAACATATCTTTTTTGGTATGTTAAACAGTAGATTAAAATTATCAACAAATAGTTCAAATTGATCTGCAATATATATATATATATACATGTGTATGTATGTATGTACATCAAACCTACTTTCATGCACATCCACACAGCTTAAGTTCATGCACAGTTAATTTTTGTCACAAGCGAACTTTAGCACAAATATGCTATTTAGTTTCATACAGCCTACATCACAAGAACAACAACACATCCCAGACATTTATTTCACCTTCAAAAAAACGATTGACGGACATCGTTTCAGATATGCCACTCACAATACCAAAAGTTAGAATAAATCCCATTAATTGAACTAAGAATTTCCCACTCGTTACTAATTTGCAGAACTGATTGATCATCTCTTTTTATCTATCAGTCTATCAATCTTTGTATCTATATCTATATATACTCACTCTCAGTAATTGTCCTGAATTTGATGCGTAGCTAAGAAAATCTCTGAAAGCATAGTAAGCATTATACAAAGTGAGGGAGGGAGGGAGGGAGGGAGGGAGGGAGGGAGTGAGTGAGAATACATCGGAGGAAAACACTACGATGTAATCACAAGGACAGCAGGCATTATTCACAACAGCAAGTTTCCCTATCAGAACCAAGTCAACACAGCCTTCCTTATAAGGCAGCTTGCTGGAGGAATGAAAGGAGGGATTGTGTGTGGCTTGCTACATAAAAGTCCTCAAAAAAATGGGTGCGACAGGGTAAGAACCTCTCAATCCTCTCAAAATTGTTCTGGAATGCAAGCTTCCTCTAGACTTGCTGCCCAGATGGCCGGACCACAAGTGGGTCACTGAAACGAATGCTGTCCCGCAAGGAGCGAGATGGCGGTGCACGCCCTTCCGTGTCATGCAACCGGCGTCGCAACCCATGAAGACCCCACGTCCACGTTTTGGAGTTAATCGTTGACTTCAGTGACAGTGGTGGCTCACATTCATAGGCCTCACCAGCTTCCAAGCCTTGAGTTTGGAGGTCCGAAGGAAATGCACCGTTTTCCCACTCACAGCCGTGTTTTCCAACCAACCAGGTGGATCCCCCACTAGCGCAGCCGTCTAACGCGTATCTGTCATCACTCAGAGCAAGAGGATGATACGATGCGCCCCCAAAGTCATAGCTTTGGCCTGCCTCTTCTTTTCCAGCTTTGGGCTCTGGAGACCATGATGTCGCAGCAGCCGCTCCGTCCTCCATAAAATGGATGGTGGGTTGGTTGGTTGTGTATGTAGTTGCAACAGAAACTGCTAGAGGAGTGTTCAAATCTGGTACAAATGACAAGGTTCTATTTGCATGGCCCACCGAACTAGGCTCATCACCTGTGCATGCAACTGCAGTGGAAAGAAGAAATGGCGCATTCAGATCTGGAAATGAGGAAGAACTTTTACTCTCATAGCTATCCATCCGCGCAAGCAAGGGAACCACCTGCAGATAACAAGCCAAGCGTGTTGCATCTAATAACCTCAGCACATCACATTGATTCGTATCATAAGAATAAATGTATGGGTAAACTATAAAAACTAGTTACTGTGAACCTTTGTATGGATCCAAGCATAAGCTTCTAACAAAATCAGACAATGTGGCAATTGAGATGTACCTGATCTTTTGGTCTCTTTCCCACCATTTTCGGTGTGTCTGTGTGTTCAAACACCAATAACGGGCCAGCTGGGTCGACAGAAGGTTCAATAACTTTCCATGCATGGTCCAGGGTCACTTGTTCAGAGTGCTCGGCAGAAGCTTGAAAGCTTTCTGACCGCTGCTTGGCAACGTATTGGTCAAGCATTTCTAGATCCTTCTGCGCCAAATCCTGTTGAGTAAACTTGATTCTCTTGGTGACGAAAACGTCAGCTGTAAAAACAGTTAGCAGTTCAGAAGGAAACTCTTGCGTACATGAATAGGACGGAAACACATCAAGAGTCACATATCCAGCACATAAGACATCGAATGACAGATATGCTCACCGTTTTCAACCTCGACATTTAACGGCCTCTTCAGCACCCTGCTCGCCATGTCTTTCCTGTTACTAGGATTAGCCATCGTTTGTCCACCTTTGTGTAAACGACTTTGCCATAATCGTAAGCCCTGATCTATCTCAAGAACCTCAGCGCCGCACTGGGGATAATTGTAAACAACATCCTCACTAGCTCCACTCTCCTCTTTGTTTTCAACATCACAATCTAATGTAATAGCGTCGAGAGTGCTCCGATCCCTTTCAATGTAAGTCAAATTCGCCTCAGTCACGTCAATGGCCGCAGAGACTTCCTTGACATGAGCATCAGTAACGTCCACTGGAGCAGATAATGGAAGATTATATCCATGTTCAGACCTCGATACTTTTGGCTTGAAATGCCGAACCCAAGGGTTGGCGAAGACAGCAGGGGCAGAAGATGGCCCATGTGACGTATAATATGACTGCTGTTGTCCTCCTTGCATTAACTCGAAAAGCTGGAAACGACAAAGAAACATAACATTACCCTCAGAAGCATAGCAGGTCAATGCATTAGCATTGTACAAATCATATTTCCCTAATAATGCGTCACCTATAGAGGATAACAATTAGGCCCGTTACTCACCTCAGTACGATGAGATATGCCATAATCATCAACTGGTCGAGACTCCACACAATCTTGTTCCGAGTCATCAAGCTGAGCTGAATTCCCATGGATGCCCAAGTGACCGAGCCCCTGCTGGCCAAACAAGCTTCTGACAAATGTTGCCTCCATGGAATCCAAGAATGAGCTGTGCTTGTCATCAGTCCATGTCGTTGCTGCTGACTCACGCTCTTTTTGAATCTGTCCAAAACTTATTGATTAATACTCATACGAGAAAACCCATAATAGTAAAATTCATGTTCAAAAATATAAAAAAAATGTTTAGAAGAAGAAGAGAGCACTAATTAGGAAATTCGTCGTGCTAGAAAAATATCCAAAATCTGAAGCAATTGGAGAGTGGTAGGTAATGCGTAAAATAAAAGTCAAGCGTCATTCGAAACCCTTACCGAGTGAGTTTCAGAATCAGAAACTCTCGTAGGACTCTCGGGCATAGTATTCACACCTTCGTCGACCTCATTCTCGCCCTCATTCTCCTCTAACATCGATCCACTCGACGCATGCACCTGTGCTCCCTTTCTTTCAGAACACATCTTATTTTTTATGATACCTGAGGCCCTCGACGTACTCCTCAGCAAAGGCTGACTATCGTTAATATTTACAGAGTCCCCATCAGACATAGTTGAGCTTTCAGAGGATTCGCCGGAGTAGCCAGAGGAGTCCATGACTTCACAGTTACGAGCACACGAATCTGACGCATAGTTGCTCGTATGTTGTTTCGCATTGACCGGACACAAAGAAGCCACAGATGCAAGCATTGCTCCAAACTGTTGCATTCGAATGTTCCCTGGTATTGAAACTCGAAAGGGTGACTCTCTTGCTCTGATAATTACGTCTGCTGCAGTGCGCTCGAGCCACTGATGTGAACCTTCAGATGTTCCCCTAACCTGAACATTATTGAGCTCCGCGCTGCTATTGTGCGACCCTACTACTGTTTCAAAACGCACTCTGCATCGCTCGTTCAATTCTGGACGCAACATGCTCCCAGGGTAGTGTTGTTGCACACCAGCCAATGCGTATAACTCGATAGAATTCTAATTTATGAAGGCTGTGGTATTCACGTCTCAACTTTTAGGGTGTCTATCATCTCCGTCTCCAAAGGAACATATTATGTCGCTTGAAAAGAAAAAAGTAGTAGTAGTCTTCAGATAAATAGTTACACATGCTCGTTTCCTAAAGCATGCCTTAGGATTCTGGCCACGTATGAAAGAACTTTAATTCTCTGCGCCTCTCAACAAGACATCATGCTACGCATCGGCACCAGGTCTTGTAAGATATGAAAAGGGAAAACAGTGATTAAATTTGTAATTCGTCGTCAGTAGCTGGATCGGTTCGGGGATGGTACAAGAGAGGGGTAATTGTTCGTTCGTGAATTGAATTTCCAGAAAAAGAAGACGGGATACTAAAACCACTTCGAGATCACCCCGAAAAAACACGCAAACAAACAAACAATCAAACAGACATATACACAACAAGGATCGAAGGTTGCAATAGTAACGTCAAGATTGGGAAAAGAAGGAGAAGAGAAGAATAAGAAGAAGAAGATAGAATATTTAAACCCAAAAAAAAAAACCCAAAGGAATCTCGAGTTACTCTTACAACTATCACCTTCAAAAACACTCGTCTAAAAATCTTAAATTCCAGACCCTGTCATATACACAGCCTACCGAAACTATCTTTTAAGAATCGTCGTCATATTCTCGCTAGTCTAATAATTCCTCTAAAAAACACCAAGACGAAAAGAGATCGCGCAGCAGATAAAGGCCACGCAACACTTCAAATCCCGAACATTCTCTTCGAAACTCCAAAACACGCCCCAAAAAAGCCTAAACGCTCATATAAAATAGAAGGAAGGATCCAAACGTTTAACACCGGCTTCAAACGCCGGCATCAAAATCGTTCCACTCTCGACACCACGCACAGCGGGTCACAACGCTACCGGCTCAGCAGCTCAATCGACCCAGCCCAGCCAGCGCAAACCTTCCCAGCAAACCAAAATCCCCCAGTTGACCGCCTCGCGAAACAAACCCAAAAATAAAACCACCACTCCTCTAATAAAGCCTCGCGGAATGGCCCAAGGAACGATTCACGGGGGAACCAACCTCTCAAAACCACACGAAACGCGAAGCGAACCTCCTCCGCAACGCGAAGGGAATCGAAGGCAATCCAAGCGAACGAGGAACATGGAAGCACAGGAGCGAAGCGTGGAGCAGCAGCTGGGGAGCTGAAAGCATGGCGACTCGGCTTGAGAGCAAGAGCCGACGAAGACAACAGAAAAGCGCAATGCAATGCACACCAGGTTGGGATTACTATTCCGGCCCCGTACCCCAGTAACGCACTTTTCCCTCAGATATTGTTCCGTTTCCCCCCTCCCCTGGTAACTCTCTCCTTCTCCTCCTCGCGGCTCCTCGCGGCTGTTTCCCCTCTCCCCTGGTAACTCTCTCCTTCTCCTCCTCGCGGCTCCTCGCGGCTGTTTCCCCTCTCCCCTGGTAACTCTCTCCTTCTCCTCCTCGCGGCTCCTCGCGGCTGTTTCCCCCCTCCCCTGGTAACTCTCTCCTTCTCCTCCTCGCGGCTCCTCGCGGCTGTTTCCCCTCTCCCCTGGTAACTCTCTCCTTCTCCTCCTCGCGGCTCCTCGCGGCTGTTTCCCCTCTCCCCTGGTAACTCTCTCCTTCTCCTCCTCGCGGCTCCTCGCGGCTGTTTCCCCTCTCCCCTGGTAACTCTCTCCTTCTCCTCCTCGCGGCTCCTCGCGGCTGTTTCCCCTCTCCCCTGGTAACTCTCTCCTTCTCCTCCTCGCGGCTCCTCGCGGCTGTTTCCCCCCTCCCCTGGTAACTCTCTCCTTCTCCTCCTCGCGGCTCCTCGCGGCTGTTTCCCCCCTCCCCTGGTAACTCTCTCCTTCTCCTCCTCGCGGCTCCTCGCGGCTCCTCGCGGCTCCTCCGCCTCGCCCGCCATCGCTGCCCTGCGCTGCAACTCCGCAGCCCAACGACGCTACGCTGCCCGCTAGTGCCGCCTTGCAGCCACGACGACGACGACGACGACGATGACGACCGAAAACTTTTACCGTCCGTCGATGAAATGCCCTCGTTCGACGAAATATTTTCCTCTGAAAATATTGAATATTGTATAACAAATAAATATATTTCTTCAAGATTGAAATATTGTAAACAGGGTATTATTTAATGCGATTGTATTAAGTAACTTTTCATTAAAGTCTAATTTCTGCTTCTTCTTCTTTTTTTTTTTTTTTTTTTTTTAATCCTGCTACAAGATAAAACTTTTCCAGATGAAATGGATCTTATGCTTCTTTTTGACTATTATTGAAAGCGTGATTTAATAAAATGGTCACTTAGTGTCATAAAAATATACTATAGCTATTAATTACATCCCAATTTTTTAATATCCTCAAAAGTAAAGTAAAACATTGACGCGCTCTTTGTAGCTAAACAAGATTCATTCACTGTGAATATAAAATCTAGTAGTAAAAACATAAGAACACTAATAATAAATAAATAAATAATGACTATATTCCTGAGAAAATGCCAATCAGAAATATGTAAGATTATTCTCCACTGTTTTGTACTTGATATGTAATATTTCAAAAATAATTTTGCAAATACTTTATATGGGTATTTAAAGAATTGGTAAGTAAAACCAAACAATATAAAAAAATAAAAATAAAATACTATCAAATGATAAACAATCGAAAAAAATTGTTTAAAAAGTTGCACATTAATGAATTTTACTTGAAAGTTTTGGAAATCATGGCTATAGGATCCTGACAAACCAGCTCCAACAACGTATTTTCATTATTACCAGAATCGTTCCGATGAACTAATTGAATTATTTGATAAATAAATATTTTTATGTTATATGAAATATATATGTTATAATTTCTTGACATGGGTTTGAAATATAATAGAAAAAATATGAAACATAATTAGTGCTCACATTTTTTCCTTACAAAAAGCTTAACATGTATTTCTGCCATGTGAATAGTGCAAATAGAATCAAATTTTAACAAATGCTTCGGTGTTTTCTTTTGGGTAGGAATAAAGCAAATAGTCTTCAAACTTATTTCTTTTTTTGGTACGTAACTTCCACATCACATTATCTTCTACATAACAAATAACTCAAACATCCAAATGAGGTTGCAATCAACAACCTAAAAAAAAAAACAAAAACAATAACAATGGGTTATAATAAGCATCTTCACATTAAGGTTAGAAGTAGCCATTGTTTGACTTCCAAGTAGCATCCATTCTTTCATTGGACACTATCTCCCTTTGAATTAGCCCACAAGTCGATTCTATTATACCCAACAAATATAATATCAAAATGACGAAGGTAATTACACCACTTTTTAGTCACGATTATTTTTTTCTTTTCATGCACATGCAAAATATATTCAAACTTTTTTTTTTTTTTTTTTAAAGTCTCAAATAAATATATCTTAACACACAAGCTATTGGTTTCGGCTCACACACCCACATCATTGTGATATTTAAAAAAGCACACAAACACACACACACACACACACACGCACAATACCTAAAAAAGCGAGCTGGTGTAAAGAGGTTAAATATCATAATGAAGATGAAAAAGGCAAAAGATATAGGATGGATGAATAACACGTATTCATCCATATAGGGCAGCGAAACTGCGAGGACACGCCAGAAAGCTCGCGCAGAAGGACGAAGAAAGGGGAACGGAAAAGAGCGTCTGAGAACGGGATTGGGAACGCGGGAACGGATCGGCGAGATATGGTCATTTAAGATCCATGGAGAAGGGCCACGTGGCGGGCGAGGAAGCGCCCTCAGGTGATCATCGTGCAGGGAGCCACTTGCTCTTGTGCCGCCTTCGAACCCACTCTTGTGGTCTTGGCCACACGCCGCAACTGCTTTTCTGCGCTTTCGTGAGGGCCTTTGCAGCTGATCCATGACCCCACCTCTAAAATATCCCACTCTCGGTCGCTCGCGCCCTTTCTCTCCCTCTATTTACCTTCAATTTGAGCTCTTTACCACTCGCTCCGCTGGCGGTTCGCAGGGACAGGAGTTGGGGGACGGGGATGAGCCCCATGAAGGGCTGTCGGTGTTTGATTGCTGAGCTCGATAAAGATCTCGGACCATGCGCCATGCATGAGAGTGCCAGCATGCAAGCTACTCCATTTCCATTACCCCACCCCCTCCCACTTGTTACTCTTCCATTGTTTGTTTGTTTGGTTGTTTGTTTGATTTTTTGCTTTCCACACGCATGTGCATGTGAGCTTACCTCAAGGAATGTTTGTGGGTTGTGGCGTTCCGTGTGATGACGTGGACGATTTCTTTCATTTCTCTCGGGATGCGTGTCTTCGTGGTAAAACCCAACTTCGGTTAAGTATTTGTTTGTTGTTTGCGGCGACACTGCTTGCGGGGATACTTCAAAACATAGAAATTAGAAGGAAAAGAAAATAGATGGAGGGGTGTGGGATTTTTGAATTTAAGGAACTACTGCCCAACTTCGGCATTCGAATTTATGGTGGGTGTTTTTTTTAAAAAAAAAAAAATTGTCTTAATGTGGGAGGACTTTCCGAAGACGATGTCTGTACTTGTTTTTACCGATTAGGGTTGTTGAACTTGTCATTACTTGGCCCTCGGGTGGTCAAGCCCTCCAACGTGCTTCGAGGTGTAATAAATTTGGACAGGGACAGGGTGGCAACAGAGTTTTCAGCCAACAGAGTTACGCAAGGACATTCCACATCATCCGAGCTTGCAATGTGTACAGAGGAATCGGAAGATATTTTTGTTAGATTGTCTACAGCAGTGGCATGATGTTTGGCCAAAACTGATAAGTTACCTTTTGAACTGCGCTCTCTGAAGAGTAACTTAATTGTGCAGGACACCTAGAAGGATCAGGGCTACAAATATATATATATATATATATATTCTAGCACTTCCCGACATAGTGACACTCTAGACCCTGTTCGTAAATCAACATGGTAGGTAAATATTACGCAGCGTTCTTTGAAGACTTTCCCCAGTAGGTTAGAATGTTCTCCTGCCCGTATGTTGGCATATGTAAGATAGGACATGCGCTCCCACAGCTCCTCAAAATCTGCGGAATAGGATACTAGAAAATATCAAGCTGATAGGATCAAACCTCTACGAAAAAGCTGGGAAACTGGATTGATATCTCGATATTCCAACTTGCTCAATATCTGGACCGGTCCTCAAAAGGTTGAATAGTTTTATTCATGAAAAGCTAGGCTGGGCATTAGCAAGGAGATAGCACCAGCGGAACGCTTGCACGAGCCTTCAGTACTGTGGAACACTTTTGAGCTGCTAACACATGCAAATTTCAATGAAGAGGCTGGGCATACACCTGATGCTGTGAAATATCCGAAGATTGTCACGTTGGTTACAGAGCAATAAGTAACGATCAATTGTACTCAAAAGAAACTAATACCTTACAAAAAACCCAAATGACATGCGTCGGAACTAGGATGGTCAGGGATAAGCCAGAACGTTTCATCAACATGGCATTGGGGTTTCATTTTCATGTTTGAAGTTATGAAGTCAAACAAACTTTGCAAGTGTCTGTTTGGTAGGCAATCTCATCAGCATACACGGATAGCTAAACACGGCACAACTAAAAGCACCCAACAATAACGAACGTGAGCTGTTAATTATTGTAGAATCTACTAGGTTCTACTAGGTTCTTCAACAGACTCCTAGGCAAGACCTGAAACACAGTATGACTAGGACAGTAGACTCGTACCTTGCGCATTATTCTGCGGCACCATCTAATAAAAGCAGCTGATGAAGTTTTAACACCCATAACAAAGCACCTACGTGCATATGGAGCAACATTCCTAAAAAACGAAGTAAATTAATTTAAAAAACAAAAAACACACACACACACACACATAAACACATACACACATCGCTGAACAAAGAAAAAGACATCAATTCAAACTTACTGACTGCGAAACATTCGGTTGAGTGTGATCGACAATGTTAAGTATCAGAGATTTGCTTTTCAACTTGCTCTTTATTTAAGACACTGGATGCAAAAATCCAATAAGTAAAGGTTGCCAATGCTCCATGAATGGTCTCCTCAAGTTAAGAAATCCTCGGTCAGTTAGATTTCCTTGTCGTGGGCTTCAATTCCATCAACGCATAAGCGAGAAAATCGTCCGAATTTCCAATTGGGCGATTCACTAAGAGAACCCCATGGCTGCAATTGAAGAAGCTGATCCAACATTACGAAGGGCCACGTTGCCCTATGTGCATAATTTAAAATCGTGATATTTTATGTGCTGTGTCGGGCACGTCCTGTGTTGTGATCCACAGAGCGATTAAGTTTGACTGGGCCTATGATGGTCCCAACATTTTCTTTGGGTCGACCCACTCATCAAACTCTTCAGATGTTAGATAGCCCAGACTCATAGCAGCTTCCTGCGTAACAAAGGTGAACTTTTAATATAACGATGGAAAAACCTTACACAATCGATCTTGCTAAAAAAACAAGAGCACCTGAAACATGCCTAATGAAAGCAGATTTCTAACTCAACGTACTTCTTAAACACTAGGTGATTCGGAAATAATTCCAGGTACAAGCTTTGACCATAGTAGCATGAAACCAATCAGCACAAACATAAACAGACTGGTTACATAATGACAGGCGGTGCGACATTAACATCCATATCCAAGAAACAGAAGCGTGCATAAATGACTTTTGTTAACTGCAGAACCCAGCACAACACAAAAACTGAGGTCTTGCCTTCAATGTAGTCCCTTCTTTGTGAGCTTTCTTCGCACATGCTGCAGCTTTGTCATAACCAATTTTCTGCCCAACAAGAATGAAATCAGCAATGCCACTTCCGGAGAGAATGTCCACACTCAGCACACAATTGTACTCATCAAGACAACCCCAAACGCATAGAGCAATAAAATCTCCTTTCAAAATAATAGCAGCCGTCCAACTTAATTAAACGCACAAAAAGAAGGCAAGTGAACTTACAGGGTTGAGCGCAGTCACAAGCATTAGCGACTGCGTTTCAACATAAGCCAACCCACAACACGATTGATCAGTAAAATAATTTGAGACGAACATCACAGACAACATCAAAAAATTACATGCACTGCTTAGTTCAGTATTCGAGGGTTAACATACCAGTCAAGTAAAGACCTGAACAGTATGACATTACACTGATACAAGATCGAATACATGCAAATAGACCTGAAGATAAAACTAACATATCATCCCCAGGAAACATACCCTTCGCATCAAATTATCAATATGGTTGCGATTAGCTTCAATGCCCACAACACAGTTCTTCCTGAAAGACTCTGCGGCGTCTCCAAGCAACACCATTGACTGCATATGCATCCCAATACCATCCATTAGAAAACTACTCTTCCTATGTTTGAAATAACTTGTGCGGGACAAATGGACAGCTAAAACCACATACAGAAAACGGTGGTGTGAAAAAATCACGACTGGACTAAGCAAATCACAATTTAGAGTCAAATAAGAAACACGTACCTGAAGCAAAGCGTTGATCATGACAGGCTTGTAAACATTGAGTTCAAAGTGCCCATTAGAACCCGCTACTGTAATGGTAGTATGGTTACCCATTACCTGCATATAAAATCAAGCATATATCAAGCGGCCATAATGCACCCTAATATGAAAAAATGCCATACCAATCAGGATAAATAATTCAGGTTTCAAAAATTGTTCAACTCTTATGATCGAGGTTAAGTACCTAGGGGTATAATTTTCAACAAAAAATGATGAACCGTTACCTGAGCGCAAACCATTGTTAAAGCCTCGCACTGTGTGGGATTGACCTTACCCTGCAGTATCCCCAAACTCTCATCAGTTCTTGCAGGAAAAGAAGAAATGGAAGAATAAACAAATAAAAACAAAAGAAGAAGAAGAAAAAATCGGACTGTACCGGCATGATACTGCTGCCAGGTTCATTCTCCGGTAAAATCAACTCATGCAGCCCGCATCGAGGTCCACTGAAACATTTAAGACGAACGTCGCTAAATGATTGAAAGCCTTAAAAACAGAAAAAAAACTACTCCCAGGTTTATACTATTCACTAGAAAAATGATGACTAGAAGCTCTAGCAGCAGAAAGTTTGAAACTGTTTCAGTCTTGCTAGTATTGCTACCAGGCTCATGCAACTGAACACTTTAAACAAACTTACTGGCTGTGTCTGTGCCTACAAATACGCTCAAATCATTTAGAGTATGTAATCATTAAGGGAAAGAGAGAGGCAATGCCTAAAAATATTTAAACAACGTCAAGTCCATCTTACATAACAAAATTCACCTCCTAGTTGAACCTGAATGAAGATGCAGCAACAAAACCACGATCGACGATTACCCTATGCCTTCTACCATAAGTTGGGGTTAGATCAGGGAGGTAATCGTACCTTCCCAACAAACGAATGTCATTGGCAATCTTCATAAGAGAAACAGCTACAGTGTTGAGTGCACCACTACATTCTACAATAGCGTCATGAGCTGCCTGTGCAGACATGCAGCAAAAACATTAGGCCGCGACTCGACATAATCGCTGCTCCACAAAGTTGAGGATTGAAGATGCTAGTAGCCGAGACCAGTAGAAGAAATCGTACCAATGCTTCAAACTTGTTTGGAGCTGTAACAAATGGTAATCCTGTCTCCTTTGCCACTTGAGCTGCAAACTTCTTATCAAACCTGCAAACTCAGTGTTAATAACAATTTTAAACACAATTCGTGATTATAAACTATAAATAAAGCGCATCAGAATGGAAATCCAATCCAATTTCTTCTAAATGTTTAATACTCAATCTTGTGATTTTAAAACAAGTTAATACAGCCCTCATTTAAGATGTTCAAGTAAAATATGAGTGACTTCATACCCCTTCTTGGTGTTGAGTCCAGTTCCAACAGCCGTCCCTCCTTGAGCCAACTGCAAAAATGGAAATGCAAGATAAGTTGAGGTTCAAATTCTGGTACATTAAGTTGCTCAAGTAAATCAACCAAGCATATAATATACTAAAATGGGAAGCATCATACATCAAGACAATACCACGCTCACAAACAGCTAAAAATAATAAAATATAAATGCTGATTTCAAACCTGATAAAGGCGAGGAAGGGTGTTCTCGACTCTCTCTATTCCATATTGCACCTACATCACATGATGCCGTCAGAGCTGTTCCAATTTTTTTTAAATAAATAAATAAATAAATAAATAAATCCCGTAACCTGAAAAAAAATGTAAAAGAAAACGATGAGCAGATTTGATTAAACCTGTGTGCAGTATGCACTAAACACTTGTCCGAGGGTGAGTGGAACAGCATCTTGAGTATGAGTGCGACCAATCTTAACAATGTCGCTAAAATCATTTTGCTGCCAAAAACCAAAATATCAAACCGTCAGCCAATATTACGCAAGATTCAGACAAATCAATATTGAACTTGAAGATGCATATCCACCTTGGAAAGAAACATAGAGTTACCACGAGCTCAACATCCACGAAGGCAAGATCAAACAATAAAAAGAAAACGTATTATGTATATTCTCATGCCCAAGGACATGTGATCCGGAAACCAATAATAGAAAACTCCAGTGGATGTTCAGCAAAGGGCTGCAGTCACATGAATTAAAAAATATCCATAACCTAATAACCACAAATTTATCTCGGAATAAATAGTGAACTTATTCTCGAAATTCCAGCAGAATTCAAGACAAAGACTTTGAACCAACGTACTCCAGTCTTAAAAGTATATATACCTTCTCAATAAGCGCTTCGTGCAGGGCATGCAAATGGGGAAGTAGCCTACTGGTAGCCTCTATAGCTGCTGCAATATGCATCGCCTGAGGAAAATCAAAAGAAACCAAGACAGAGTTATTCAACATTCAATTCAGCACAAAATTGTATTACAAGTGATGGAGATATTATTTATTTAAACTACGACACCCATTACCACTATACCGAGGCAAACGGCAAAAAAGGAATCCTACATAAATATCCCCATTGAAACCAACCAACAATAAAGGACATTTACAGAAGACACTCCGTTCGTTTGCAAAGCATGGAAGTGTCTTGCACTATAACTTCGTACAACATAATTAATTCTCCTTAAAGGATTCTCTTTTAAAAAAATACACAAAATACAAAAGTGAGTTTTCTGTACGTAGATGAAGTAAACCACCTGCAACTAGCAATAGCTACTTGTTTCAGACCAAGATAAGTTCCCATTATTTTAAGTTGAATTACAACAGAGTGTGGCTACGAACCGTTGGAAAGGTGTCATTTGAGGATTGACTCATGTTAACGTGATCGTTGGGATGGACCCCCTTGCTGCCAATAGGGATACCGATAATCTCACCCGCACGATTAGCAATCACCTGTAAAATCGCACGAAAGTTCAAAAGAGTGAGGCAGACTACATGCCGACTCATGTTTGAATAACGTCCTCGAACAAGAATTGATGATTAGGAATATGTTCAAAGAGCATTATCCAGTATCAAGACGCCAGCAGGACAATTCAGCAAATACCTCATTGGCATTCATATTCGATTGAGTGCCGCTGCCCGTTTGCCAAACAACAAGTGGAAAGTGGTCAGTCAGCTTTCCCTGAGCTACCTCACTGGCCGCTTTTACGATGGCCTCGCCAAATTTCTTGTCCAGACCATATTCCATGTTCACCTGCCTCAATCACAAGAGTGCAGCTGGAATGAGTATCGTGCGATTCCAGGTTACCTCCGACCAGGCAATTCGCCGAAGTTCCAGAGACGATAGATCAAAATAACTGCTTATCATTGAACAAATTAACAAACCCTTTCTATAAATTTCCACTACGAACATTCAAAGAAACAAAACAACGAAAGCGAGGCAGGCTAGGAATTACAATGGCAGCGCACTTCTTAAGGATGCCAAGAGCTTCAACAAGCTGTTTCGGCATCCGTTCGGATTCACCCCCAATCTCAAAATTCTGTACAGATCTTTGAGTCTGAGCACCCCAGTATCTGACCAACACAATTACAAAACCTCGATCAACATTACACCATCAACCACAAAATCAATGAGCTGATCAACTCCAAGAACTCTGATCGTAGCGCGCCATAACACACCATAATCGTCCACTAACACAATCACTGAAATGGAGCGTAATATCAACCACAAACGATCGAGAAACCGTAACTCGGTAAATTGGCGCAATCAAGGGAATCAGAAAAGTTGAGAAGAGCAACCACACGCACCGGTCATTGGGGACTTGAATGAGGCCAAAGGTGTCACGCTCCTCCCTGAATCCACCTCCGCCTGTGAGAGAGCGGACGAATTGGAAGGTGAAATTGCGCGAGGCTGCAGCTGTCGAGGAATGAACTCGCATCCACCGCCGTGCGGACGCCATCTTCGTCAAGAGCGTCATTGCGAGCTCCACGAGCTCGCAAAAAACTCGATTAGGGTTTTGCGGCAATCAAGCTCAAAACACAGCAAAGCTCACTCACTCACACACTCACTCACTCCTTCGTCTTGCTCTTCTGTCCATCGCCGCAGCAATTCTTCATTCATCTTCATTTATTCATTCACTTTTGGATGGGTGATAGTTATGCGGTCGTGCGGATGGATGAACTCATATGTGAACGTATTGGCTTTAAATATTCGTAGCGTTCTGTAAATGTACAAAAATACACAAAAGTAGAATCATTCGTATTCCATTCAATCTGATCTACTGGCCATTTCAATCGACCTGTTTCAGTTTCATTCCTTGACATTGTGTGTTGATGTTCATCTTGTTGTTAAATTTATTTGTCTATCGTATTATAGAATTGTGTCTGTGTGATAAAATAACTGAAATTAGCCAATCTAATTTTACATAATCAAAAAATTAGTATAAAGATTTTTCTTGAGAATTTTATTTTTAATTATTAAATATATTACAAATCATTAAAATAAATTATAATAATTCATTAATTTTATTTTTTTATTTAAATTTTCATATTTTTTTAAAAATTCTAGATTATTTCAAGAAGAATAGAAATATGCACTTGTAATTTGATCATTTTATTTTATCTTATATAAATTTTCTTAAAAATTTATAGGATTAAAATGAATTCATTTTTTTTAAATGTTTTAATCTATTTAATTTATTGTTACTTTATAATCCTTAAAGATAGACTTTTTAGCTACTACTTCTTCATATTTTATTCTTTAACGGTGAAAAAATACAAAGTGTGTCTAAACCAATTGACTAAAGAATGGCATGGGACATGCACAACAATTCAATAAAAATATGAGAATCTTGTGCATTACATACAAGACGCTATGCGTCATAATGTTGCAAATAAAATATAATGTATACAAGCTTTTTTTAGTAGATTGTGAGCAAGTTGTTGGATGTTGCAAATTTTACATGAAGGTAAAGCATTAATAAGAATTATTGGCAAATATAGAAGCATGCATTGCAACAAGACAAATAATATACAAAATTCCTCTTGTGCATCATCTTTTTGATGAGCAAGTCATTAATCTTTGCCATTTACATAGCAAGCTGACTATTTCTTGTGGCCATTGTTAAGCACTTCATTATATAGACAAACATATATTCAATACTTTGGAAATAAACCAACACTTCAATACATGTTGTATTAATAGAAAATCTATCTTTTTTATGTTCAATCATCCTCCAAAACTTTTGTGAAGCATGTTAAAAGATACTAGTCACTAAGCTAAAGAGTTTTTACAAAAATATATGTAGTTATTATAATATATTAGCTTTAATAATTGTTGGAACAAAAATCAATAAGCATTTTAAGAATGATGGTAACTATATTAATTGATCACATAGGAGTTATACAATTAAATGAAAAATCTTCTTTTGCTTATAAATAAAATTTCTAAGTTTATTCAAGTATGTATTTTTTTTACCTGTAAGTTGAGCTGAACATGTATGTAGTATTTGTTGAATTAATACTATTAAAATCTATGAAAATCTATGAAAATTGACTATAAAAATCTACCACTATTCTATCAAAAAATGTTAGCTTAGAATGTAAAATGATAGAAGCTTTGCATAAACATGCTCTACTTACAATCTAATGGTATAATTATTTGTTAATGTCAATTGAGGATTGAATTGATCCGTAGATGATCTTCGTATTTGGCTTTTGGCTCTTTAGCAAAAAAAAATGCTTAATTGCATAATGTCCCAACTGCAATGGGAGTCTAAACTAATAAGACTTTGTTGTAAAAAATATTAATGGAAGTCATTGCTATATTTTGCATTACACTTATTTTATTATCACATATTTCTATTTCCAAATGAACAAGATTTATGGAGTTTAGATATATCTTTAAATAGATCTCAAAAGAATAGAAGTACATTTATAATTAATAATAAAGACATTGTGATACATCTAAGGCATTCCAAGTATATTACAGTCAAGGACAAGAACTCGATGAAAAAACAATCTAGATAAGTGAGCCTTCACTCAAAGAAAGGTAACAAAATATAAATAAATAAGTATGTATATTGAAAGAGAAACTAGAATGGCTATTGCCATAAGACAAGAAAACTAGAGACCCTTGAAACTAGACTAGAAGCAAGAAAGGAGTTGATAAGAGTGAAGAAGGCTTCACTCTTGTCTCTATATATATTATCTAACTAGAGGCTACATGGCGACATTCTATAGGACCTCCAATATGTGTTGACTTTGTAAGACACATGCCTTGACTTACAAGGAAAGTTTTTCTACATGTAGGCCACATAGTTAGCTTGATCTTCAAGCTAACAACATGTGTGGCACATGGCCAACTTGTTGACCACGTTGACGTGTTGTAACACGAGTATACCATGAAAATATAAAGAAAGGGGACTTTTATTAATGTTCAGTTACCTCGAATATTGGGAGCAACGACCAACTCCAGTGCAAATACTGAGTGGTCAGGTTCAGTCACCACGTTACAGTCAGCCGGGGCATACTGAAATGCTCCGTTCGATTCCAATAACGGGAGTCAGCAGGAAGGGAAAGGACCAATTCACACGACGGGTGAGCCTAGTTCGAAGAGCCAATTGGATCCAATTTTAAGAATCTAATCCGGATCCTCTTATCCAATATGAGACCTGAATTGGTCGGGCAATCCAATGCAGTCTAGTTATGGGAAAATCTAGGTCTTACTACGGGCCTCAGCCAATCTAACACGAAGGACCAATTTGATCCAATTATGGGGACATCCGGGTCTTACTACTGGACTCTTAGCCAATATGAGACCTGAATTGGTCGGGCGACTCAATGCGGACCCGAGTACGGGGTTTCGATTCTGTTTTAGGTTGTCCTATTCTTTGTGCCATTTCAGGAAACATTATTTTTGGTAAAAAGATCTCTTAAAGGTAAAAATGGGGGAGAAAGCTCTGACGACGAGAGCCAATTTCGGATCCAAGCTCTGACGGTGGGAGCCAATTTCGGATCCAAGACGGAAGATTGAAGAAATTCAGAGGATAAGGTTAGGAGGAGAATAAGTTTTGGAGAGTTTTTTTTTGAAGAAGAGGAGAGCTAGCTTCATGCTTCGGGCGGGGAAAGAAGACAGAGAATTGGATTTTTTTTCTTCATAGGGTTTTGGGAAGACTGAGGCAATCGTTGCTGAAGTCAGTGTTGTAATGGTGAATCGGGATTTTTAATGAAGTGGGTTTGATTACTCTTGACTGTTTTATGAAATCGAGTTATGTCTGTGATGAAGAGTTAAAAGGGTGTCTATAGGATTGAGTATGCGAAGTGAATGAAATTTATTGGGTTAATCTAATGAGATAGTCAGTGGATACAAGATCGTGAGTATAAAGCGGTGTCAAAGATTAGCAGTTTGGGTTGTTCGGGGTTCTCTGTAACCTCTAAAGACCTACTGGCCGGGACAAAAAGGACTTCGGCGAGTAGTCAAAGGGCATCCGTATAGATTTACGGTGTATTCTTGTAGTCGTTTATATTCCAACAGTCAAAAACTGATAGACTGCTTAACTATTGGCGAATCTCCATACTACCTTCTACAGCCAGACGTCCGGCGCGTTCTCGAGCAGGAAAGCACGTAATATGACAAAAGTGGTGAATCCGACGTGAAAGCTAAATGTGGAAGGTATTGGACTTCGGTTGATTTTATCTTTATTTTATGGAAAACGAAAATAAAAATTTTAAAGGATTTTTGGGAGAAGTTTCTGGTGGGGATTCTTCTAAAGGACAAGGTATGCATATAGATCTGTCTATTGCTAGTATGTTTCAAGCCTTCTCATTATCAATGCAGCAACAACAAAGCAATGATCGAAAGGAAGCTTTGGCAACCAAAGCATTGCAAGCAGTGGTCAATAAAATTGATCAATTTGATGGAAGGAATATTTCAAGGTATTTAAGATGTTATGTTCGTGAAATGGAATTAAATCGGGTTTCTGAGAAGAAAATGGTTGAACTATTTGGACTTGCCACGATACCGGAGATAAGAGACCACATTACATCGATTACGGATCGTTATGGAAATTCATGGGAGGTTTTTTCACATGCATTGAAAGACTAATATTTCTTGGAAGATGCTGATCGCGTTACTAAGAAGCTATTTTTGGAATGGATTGAACAGCCCAATAAGAATTTGCAAGCAACAGAGCTACTAAGGGAATTTGAGAGGCAGTACTCTCAATTGTCGAAGGTAGAAAAATTGACATTGGAGCCGAACAAAGTTGATCTATTTCTTCAAGCTGCTGATGGAGAATTGCAAGGGAAATTAGAACTCCTTCTTGAAGATAAAGAAGAAGATGAAGGATTGACAATGAAGTGGAAGAACATTGAAGATGCGGTGGGGTTGCTTACAAAAAGAGAAAGGAGGAAGGATAGGAGCAATATTCCAAAAACAGTACAAGCACCCAAAGCTCCAGTACGTACAATACCACCAACAATGCCTACAGTTCAACCTTCGACATCCTTATCAAAGAAAGCAGATATGGGAATAGAAGAAATTATACGAGGAATGCGAGATCTTCAAATCAAATTGGCAAGACTTGAAGAGAATACTTCTATAAATAATTCGAAGAATGTTTCAAAACAAGGATATGTACAAAGATGCATTTGGTGTGATGATGCTTCACACACTAGAAAAGATTGCAATGAATTTAATAATATGATACGGCAGGGAATTATTTGCTGGAAAGATGGAAAGATAGCATTGAAAAATAGAGAGGATCTTCTTCAAACCAATTTTGGCAAAGGAGGAATGAGAGCATTGGTTCAAGATTACCTAAAAGAGCATGAAACAGCAGCACGAGAAAGTGCAAGTTATGGTGCTAGAGTAGATGATGAAATTGGTGGAAGTACGGAAACTAGTGAGTTTTGGGCTTCTGCCGTTTCTACAATGCAAGAAGGGAAATTTCCTTGAGAAGCGTTATTGAGAACTGCAGCTATAATACGAGGAAGAACAGGTTGGGAGGATCCTGTTGAGTCTCTTTCAGTTCATGCATATATTGCTAAGAGCCAACATGAAGCTT